GATGATGATGCTGCTGATGATGATGATGATGATGATGATGATGATGACGATCATGATGATCATGATAATTGTTGTCGTGCTGCTGAGGATGACTATGCTGATGATGTTGATGATGATGATGATGGTGGTGGTGGTGGTGGTGGTGGTGGTGGCGATGATGATGATGATGCTGCTGCTGATGATGATGATGATGATGATGATGATGATCATCATCATGGTGATGATGGCGGAAAAGATTATGAGGATGTCTCGAGAGAGGCGCGGGTTTCAGCACCACCAAGGGGGAGCCGCCAGGGGGTATCTCAGTCCTCCGTTCGCGCCAACATGGCGGGGATGTCTCGAGCGGTTTGCCTGTTTGTGCCCACAACATCCTCCGCTTTCGGAGCAGATGTTGAGCATGTCTCGAGCGAGACGCCCCCAAGGGGGGGGGGCGCCAGGGGGTATATCAGTCCTCCGTTCGCGCCAAGATGGCGGGGATGTCTCGAGCGGTTTGCCTGTTTGTGCCCCCAACATCTTCCGCTTTCGGAGCAGATGTTGAGCATGTCTCGAGCGAGACGCCCCCAAGGGGGGGGGCCGCCAGGGGGTATATCAGTCCTCTGTTCGCGCCAAGATGGCGGGGATGTCTCGAGCGGTTTGCCTGTTTGTGCCCCCAACATCTTCCGATTTCGAAGCAAATTTGGAGAATGTCACGAGCGAGGCGTTGGTTATCGCATCCCTGGTGGCCCATATTGCGAGGATGTCTCGAACGGTTTGCGTGTTTTGCTGGTCAGACTCGTGGGCGTGGATCCTCAGGATGCCACAGAAAGCTCCAGCAGGATCCAGGAGGCACCAGGAAGCCACATGAGGCAACAGGAGGCCACAGGAGGCCACATGAAACGCCAGGAGGCACCATGAGGCCCCCGATGGCCCCAGGAGCCACCACGAGGCCCCAAGAGCAGGAGGCCTCAGAAGGCCGCAGGAGTGGCTCCAATCCCCGTCGTTTTACATATGGTTCTATAGAATGGGTTTCATTTGGAGTGCGAATCTTGTGTGGTTACGTATGTGTATGTAAAGTGCCGTTCCCGGCGTGACCATTCCTGAGTGTTTTACATCGGTTCCTATAGTTTGGGCCTCCCCTGGGGCACGAGTCATTGGTGGTTTACGCGTGTTCCTATAGATGGCTTTTCTCCTGCCTGTGGTTTTAATCCGAAGTGTTTTACGCATGTTCCATAAATTGGGCCTCTCCTGGGGCACGAACCCTCCCCAGGAGGCCCCATGAGGATCCAGGAGGCTCCTGGAGGCCCCAGGAGGCCACGCGAGGCTCCAGAAGTCTTCAGGAGGCCACAGGAAGCCCCAAGAGGCCACAGGAGGCCACAGGAGACCTCAGGAAGCCCCCAGAAGGTTTCAAGAGGCCCCAGCAGGCCCCAGGCTCATGGGCAAAGATGCACGAATACTACTGAGACACATGCACACCCCAACTCATTCTCAGTCAGACTCGCTCCCAGACTGTTAAAATACTCAAGCCCGCCTCTGTTCGAAAGCTCTTACGCCCAGGCACGCACGGCGGACAGGCCCATGCCAATAGATGCACATCGGGGGAGCGCCAGGCAGTGAATAATGTGTCTCTCATGTTTTTTTTCGCGGCTCGGCACACTGCCTGAGCCAATTTCTCCCGTTGCAGAGCCGGCGGTCGGCCGTTGGAGGTCCACTGTATATCCTCGTCTGTCCAGCTTTCCCGCCTCCCCCTCTCTTAGGGGAACGACAACTTTCAGGAGAGGAAAAAACACACAGACACAATTAATCCTCGATTCCTCAGAAAGTATGGGAAAATATGGGAAGTGGGGGGGAAGACAGAAACCCAGAACATATGGGAAAATATGTAGAATATTTTTATTTGTGTGTATTTATTTGTGTGTCCTGGGACCCCTTCAAACTTACATAAACATACGAACTCAGGGGTCCGCGCGGATTTCTTGGATCTGTGCTGGACCCACCTCCTTGGCGCGTGGAACGCGCCAGGGGCGGCGCCGCAAGCGCCGCCAAGGGGGCCCTCTCGCGCGGACCAGCGCGGACCCTCGAGTTTGTATGTTCATGTGATTCTTAGTTCCTTCTCTCTCCCTCTCTCCCTCTCTCTCCCTCTGCGGTACTGGTGCAGCGGATGCCAGGGATATCCTGCTGCGATGGGAAGTTTCGAAGCAAACGTTTGGGCACAGAGGGGGGCAGCCGTCAGGCCGAAACTCGGGTGATGGGCATGTCTTCCACCACCACCAGGAAGCTGGAGGGGGAAGGTGTCCTCCCCCTCCTCCTGCTCCACCTCCTCCTCCTCCTACTCTTCGTCCTCCTCCTCCTCCTCGTCCTCCACGAACTTCCCCCCTCCAACTTATGGTGGTGGTGGTGGTGGACAACAGGCCCATCATCTGGATCAGGCTGAGCAGATCCAGGAGTCGACCATACATGCCTTCGCGGATCTTGAGATGTGGGAGCCTGCTGGAAGTTCATTTGGACTGCTTTTGGATTGGGTCAAACCTGGTGGGAATTCATCTGCAGCCCACCTGCGCCACCGGTATCGCCTGCACGTAGCGATCCCCATCCAACCAATACAGTGTCGTCAATGCGTATGTAGATGTAGACAAGCAGATTATGTTTTTGATGGCCGTCGCACCTTGAAGAAACATTCTGCGCAATGTATTCTCGAGCTATACCAGCACGTCCAAAATCTCACTCTGTTCAAGATCTCCCGGAGCTGAGAAAAAGTACCCTCGTTAGGCTCGGACCCGGCATCCTGACCTTCGGGCTGCTCTGAACGAGGGCTGCTTGCAACTGACATTGGCTCGGTGTCGACGTCAAGCGTGCAAGGAGGCTCCAGGGGAATTGCAATGTCCGAGTCGTCCCACTTAGCTCACGTGAAGTCGAAGTTCGGGAATTTGTAGGCGTCGAGGTCGATGATGACGTAGCGAGGCCCATGCACTGGGCAAATATCTCGGGCGAACTCTGCGTAGACTGTTGAACCCCAAGCTGCATTGTTTTCAGAGAAGCGGCTCCGCATGCACGTCCAAGTCGTGGTGAACTGACCACCAATTGAGCGAACTGGAGCCCACCTTATCCTGCGGTCGTCTGAATCTCCCTGGATAGTAATGAGATCCGTCGAGATCACAACGGACCTTGGGCAGCACTGGGGAATTACCATCGCCCATGGCAATGATACGTCCCACTCTGTCGAAAGAAACGGCGGTCAAATCGGACGTGGAAGTGCTGGTTGCGCGAATCGGTTGGCAGATCTCCGAACAACATCAAGGTCGGGCTCATGCCTGCGCAAACGGCATCGTCCCATAGCACCCTCGAGCGTCATCCAAGCTAGATAGACGCCGTGACTGCATGGCCACATCCACTGCTCTTGGCTTGGCGCTACAGGGTTGAGGCGAACCGTGCAATCGAGCGGCATGGCAGTCTGAGCCTACATTGCACCAGAACGAGGCAGGGAAGGAGGGGGAAGCGTCAGGTTTGGTGATGCTGTTATTGTTTTCTGCAAGCGGCTCGGCGTCGTTTTACGGGCGGCTGGAAGGCGCCGCAGGGCTCTCGCGGGGTTCTCGTGGGACTCGTGCGGGGCTCGCGTGGGGCTCGCGTGGGGTTCGCATGGGGCTCGCGTGGGGCTCGCGTGGTGCTCGCGTGGGGCTCGCGTCGGGCTCGCGTGGGGCTCGCGTGGGGCTCGTGTGGGGCTTGTGTGGGGTTTGTGTGGGGCTCGCGTAGGGCTCGCGTGGGGCTCGTGTGGGGCTCTCGTGGAGCTCTTGCGGGGCTCTCACGCGGCTCGCCCGGGTCTCGCCACAGGTCACCTTCCCCCTTCATCCGTTGTTCCTTCTCCTTCTCCTGTTCCTCATCCGTCTTGTTTGTTTCATTTTCGTCTTGCGAGAACTCTTCCTAGCCCTCCTGCTCATATCCTTCCGACTTGCGACGGCTCAAGATTTGAAGCCGTCTCCAAGACGGCTGGAAACAACGACCAAAACGGCAGCGTTTGATTGTTTGTTGGGGCCGCAAGGAAGGGGCCCTCAGGGATGCTTTCTGGTGTTGGGCGCCCGATGAACCGTGGGAGCCAAGAAGAGCCCCGACAGGATTGCCGAAATCTGCCATTCTACCTCGAACGATGGTGATCATGAGAATACCATTCTGTTTGAAACCCACAGCCTCGCCCACGGCGCGCAGCAGCAGCAGCAATCTGATGTGGTTGGGACCACTCGCGCAAGACACTGCACGGCAGACCGAATTCGATTCTCTAGTCGTCGTGCCCTCCCCGTTTCCTCCTCAGCATCGTCGTCATCGCCATCCTACCCACACTCGCTGCGTCAGGGTGGTTCCAATACTTCTGTTGGGCCTCCCCAGGAATCTTGGAGCAAACGCCGCCAAACGACAAGAAGCTATGACGAGTGGTTGTTCTAACCAACCTAGAGTGCCCTCTCCTTCTCTCCCCCCTTCCCACCCGCCCATCTCCCCCTGCAACGCCTGTATCCTTCGCCGTGGATCTGCGCGTTCATCAGCAGGTGACCCTGTGTTTTTCAAGTATGCCCCTGTGCAAAAGAAGCTAAGAGGCTTAGCGTGCACGGATTCGGCGGTCCATCTATCCGCCCCTATCTCTGATCCGTCTGCGTAGCACCACGAGTTTGGGGGGGTCACCCCCTCCTGTACAGGCGCGGCTGGTGCGGCTCTCTCCGCGCCAGCACCCAGACGCCTCCTAACGTGGAAGGTGTCGGGAGGCAGGGAGTGGTCGCCAACCGCCTCTGCCTGTGCACTGTGGGCTGTGAGGGCGTTGAGTCCAAAAAACATGTGGCTCGATGTGGAGCCCGATTTTCTCCACGCCGACGTCGCCGACGCATCGTCGACGTCGCCGATGCATCGTCGATGTATCGGTGATGCATCGGCGATGCGGCGCGGTCCTCCGACCCCACCTGCTCGGACCTCATCTACGAGGCCTCTGGATTCTGAGCTGGCTGTGATGCCGACGTGCGCCCACCCCGAGCCTGGGCCCCCAGGACTAGGTCCTGGCTGTTCGCGAAGGGCGGCAGCCTCGAGTCGATCGAGAGCCTGCAGCCCCTCGAGGAGGAGAGCCTGCCGCCCTTGGAGGAGCCGTGCGCCTGCAGGGTTGAGTCGGGCAGGAGAAAGACCCGAGAACAGTCAAGAGATAGTCCGGGGGCTTTTTTTTTGCTTTTGCATTATTTTTTGAATATTTGTTTTGACTTGTTTTACCTTCCCTCGAAAATCCTCCCTCAGGGGGACATGCCCGACCTGGGCCTGGTCTGCCGAGTCCTGCCTGGAGGGGCCACGCGTCGCTCGTGGACGCCTCGTGCGGTGCGCAGGCCTCTGGCGCGTGGATAAAAAGTCGGGGCGGAGGTTTTTGTTCGCCGCGCTTTCAGGAGGGAAGAAACGCACAGACACAATTAATCGTCGATTTCCCAGAAAATATGGGAAAATGAAGGAAGTGGGGGGGAAGACGAAAGCCCAGAAAAACATGCAAAAATATGGTGAATCCTGTTATTTGTGTGTATTTGTTTGTGTGTCCCAGGGCCCCTTCACGCTTGGGCCTCTAAGGACCCTCGCCGCGCGCCAGGCCCCGGACCATCAAAAACCGCAACTCGGGACGAAAATCGGGCCCCGGGGAAGTGTTCGCGGATCTTCCGTGGACTTGGCATAGAAGGAGTCAGAACGTCGCATCGCTTGGTGCTCGCGTTCCCTTCGAGTTTCTTGTCAGTTCGAGTTTGAGTCCCTCGTGCCTTATATGGAGTAGTTTTGTAAGGTGGATGTTGAGTATCTCGCAGGTTTCATGCGTAGTCGTAACTACTCGCAGCAGGTTCCACCGACAACCAACCCGCAAGAAGCCTACATCGAGAAGATAAGGCTGAAGAAAGTGTAGAGCTACGTACAACTGTCATGCATCTCCCAGGCCGAAGTTGCAGCACGTTCAAGGCAAGAGACGCACTAAACTATTGGTATCACATCTGCATCAAACCAGCAAGGCAACAATGAATCCGTAACTGCTTTGACTCAAGAGCAATGCTGGTTCATTATTGCCCCAGCAGGGCATGTTTACCTTCCGGCCCAAAAGTTCTCTTTCTGTGCGTTCATTCGTACATGTAGTGGCCCAAGGCATAGCGCCTTTTGCGCGCCTTTACTTGTGTGTGCTTTGTTTCACAGGCAATGTGCGCAGTGCAACGTAGGGCTGGTGACATGGGCGCAAGTGTTGTGTTTCACGTTGCCCCCCGCAAGACTGGTACGACATCCGCTCAGTCTGGCATGCAAGGGAAGAAGTCTTGACTGGAATGTGTCGGCTAAACGATGCCATCCCCTGCCTTGTTTACGTGAAGCCTCGCGATCGCTAGACTCGAATTTTGGGAGCGCACGTCAAAACAAAATATCCATTAAACAAGAATTCTGTTGTGTGTACGTAGTTCAAGATGGATGAGTTCGATACCACAGGCAAGCAATTGTAATACACCTAGCGCTATTTAAGACCAACTCCTCTTCATCCTCGGCAGCACTATCACCATCATCGTCGCCAGCGTACTCATTACCATCATAATTGCTAACATAGTACTCATCATCTTCGCCATCGTTGTCGTCATCATCGCCACAGTCTCCATCATCATCGTCATCGCCGTTGCCGTTGCTCACCATCATCGTCGTCGCCACCGATCTCGTCGTCACCTTCACTGTCCGCCTGCCCGATTCGTGGATCTGCATGAGACCCGTCCTCCAGGCATTGCGACAGTTGGTGTTTGCCAAGAGGTTGCCGGTGGGTGTGCAAGATTTTGGTTCGAGCAGTGGAGTTGACGATCAAACAAATTGCAACACTAGCAGGGAGCACCGGAAGATTGTACCAATAACTCAGACTGCGCTCCATATGTTGTGCCAAACAGGCCGTGCAGAATCATCGTATGGGTTTCATCTGATGGCGTCGTTCTGTGTGTCTTGCGATCCTTCCAGCAAGTCATCGTTTTCAGAGCAGTGGTCGCGTAAGTTGCTGCAGGGGCGAATCTGACCACGACCCGTCCACGTGGAAGCGACAAGTGGCTGCCACGTGCTGACATTACACAGTACAATGTCGCCCGTCACGCGAAACGGTGAGCGCTCATTCGAGATGCATGACACGCGACAGACACGCCGAACCGATGTCGCGATCATGGGGGCTAGGAGTTGGCGAATTGGTCATACATGCATTGCGGAAGGCATCACCACATGAAGGCATCATATTTGCGTGGCCCACATCCAACGAAACCAGTCATTTGAAGCATAGATGCTGTATGTGAGCACCAGGTAAGCGCCATCCCCCAACGATGGGCAAACACAGCGGACGAAGGCCATGACTTAAAATTCATGAGATCTCGAACACGTGTCACATGTTCAAGTTGGAAGTTGGGGGGTGAGGTCGAAGTCGAACGGAGAGCCCCCTACCAGAAAATCTGCTTCGGTTTCGGGTTCGTGTCATGCGTGCGGGCGAGGCGAAGCTGCGTGAGCGGGCGAGAGGAATGACCTCGCCATGGCTAGGGCGGGGCAAGACACAAGACCGTCCCTCCTGGTGGCCGATGGGCTGGCTTGGCCGGGGGTGTCCCGCCGTGGTGTCCCGCCGTGGTGTCCCGTCGGTATCCCGTCGGTGTGCCGTCGGTGTCCGCGGCGGTGGCCAGGGGTGTCCTGTCGGTGCTCCGTCGATGTCCTGTTGGTGTTCCGTCGGTGTACCGTCGGGTCCTGCGGGTGTCCTGTCGGTGTCCCGTTGGTGTCCCGCCGTGGGTGTCCTGCGGGTGTCCCGTTGGTGTCCCGTTGGTGCCCTGTCGGTGTCACGTCGGTGTCCCGATCGGTACCCCTTTGGTGTCCTGATGTTTTTTGGATGGTGCCCTCGATGGTGTGTCTCCGATGGTGTTTCCGATGGTTCGATCAAGTGGATGAGATGTTGCTTCCGTCCCCGGCACAACCTCCTTATCACCCGAAGGGTGGTCGTATAGGAATGCGTACACGCGTACAGCAGTCATTTCGCGGGGCTCGCTCGATATAACATAGCATGAAACATGATCAGACGGAGATCCCCAACGAAACGCCTGGGTTTAGAAGCCTTTTGTTGGTTGCGTATCGCCGCTGTGGCGTAGTTATGGAACGTCGCAAGCATGGCGCAGCTGCCACCGACAGGGCATATTTAGGGCTTCGCTGCCACACGTGTTTATGGGCAAGGCGCAGATGCAACCCGAGACGGAGAGAACGGTGGGTTTCGTCTACAAGCCGTGCAGGATCGATCCCAACACCCTCCTCGGTTCCACACTCGTCCGCCGTGGCCGCACGAACCTTCGGAGGCGCACAACGATCTTGAAACCTGGACGTTTCCGGGGAGCGTTGTCCTGTGTCAATGGTCAGCGCCTTGCGGCGACCCCCAAGCCCAATCTGGGCCAAGGGCATCCACGAAGTTTCGACCCTCAAACCTCGAAGGTAGCGAGCCTCGACCCTCGCGGGAGCAGTGCCCAACGACAGCCGTCGGCCCTCGGCTCCGAGCCCGTCCCGTCGCCGACGCCGTCCGCGTATGTTGCCGCTTGCCGCCGTCGCCGTTGCCGTTGCCGCCGACGCCGTCGCCGCTGTCGCCGTCGCCGCTGTCGCCGTCGCCGCCATCGTCGCAGCCGTCGCCGACTGCCGTCGCCGTCGCAGCCGTGGTCGTCGCCGTCTTCGCCGTGGCCGCCGTTGTCGCAGACATCCTGCGATATGTTTTTTGTTTCAGTCCGGGCCCCAGAGCTGCCGACCCCGTCTTCAGAGGTACAGTTGGACCTCAAAAGCAGGTCCACCCTGCCACATCAAGGGTACCCTTGTGTCCTGTGTCTCGCGACCCATGCCTCCCACAGTCCTACGGCAGTGTGGCCCCAGCAAGGGTCTTGTGTCCTCTCGCGGGTCCTGTCCTTCGAAGTCCGGCTGTAGCCTTTCGCCCTGGATCCCTTCGGTGGTCTTGAGGCCCGAGACGGGGCCCCAGAGCCCGGGAGCGAGGAAGCAAGATGGGATTGAGAAGATCGTGTCGCCGGAGGTCTGGGGTCGCAGCCGTCGCCGCCGGCGCCGCCGGCGCCGTTGCCGCCGGCGCAGTTGTCGCCGCCGCCGCAGCCGTTGCCGTCGTCGGGACGACGGCGACCAGGACCACGACAACGACCACGACCGCGACCACGACCACGACCACGACGACCACGACCACCACGGCGACCACGACCACGACCACGACCGCGACCGCGACGACAACCGCGATCACGACCACGGCCACGATCATGACGACCACGACGACGACCACGACGACCACGACCACGACCACGATGACAACCACGACCACGCCCGCGACCACGACCACGACGACGTCGTCGACGCCAGGTCCGGTGCCGTCGCCATCGCGTCGCGAGGACTCGGCGCTTCTCGCCGCCCTGGTGGCACAGGGCCCCCGGCGGGTGCCCGCGGGCGCCGGGCCGCCCGTCGGCAGGCCGCTGGCCGTGCCGCCGCCGGCCGCGGGTCGAGCGTGGAGATGTCGGCATCCTCGTTTCGGCTCTTTCTTCTCCTCGGCGGGTGCAGCATCCTCCTCCTGCTCCTCCTCCCCCTCCTCCTCCTTCGTCCCGGTCGGTCGGTCGGTCGGAGCTAAAGGCCAGTTCGAATCGAAGCCTCTCCTAGGTGTGGGGAACAGGGCAAGGGAAAATAGGGCAGAGCGCTCATAAAGAGCAGGGCTGCAGGGCACGTGCAGTTAGACATCAGGGGTCAAGTCCAACACGGAGGCCAACAGCAAAAAAGAGGAGCGGGGGCCGTTACAATGCAGGGAACGGGTCCAAGGGCTTCCAGTACTCGAATCCACCCCCGAGAACATTCTCCACTTCACCCCCATCACTGCACAGTAACCCTTTCCTCCACTCATGTGTGAAAGCGGAAGCAAGCACATCATAGAACCCCGAATGCAACTCACACTGCCAGTTGGGCACTCTCCCGTCAAGCCCCGTGTGGCAGTGCCCGTCCCGTGTGGCAGCTCCCCCTCAAGAGTGTCCAAGGACACACTCCACAAAGCAATCGGTTCCCATCTTGTGTGCTGTCCAAACGTGCAACTACCGAGAACGTGCGAGGCAATCTCTTGCTTTTTTCCAGCCAGGGCAACCTCGGGCACATCCTGAATTTTACAGCCATGTCCAACTTCGCGCTGTACAATCGAAGTCCACGGAATCTTGTGCAAGGCAGCCGCACAAGCAAGCTCGAGACAGTCTCTCATGTATTTATTCTCAGACTTGACGCAACTTCGCTCTCTGGCGTTCAAATTGGCTCGGCCCCAGGCGTACTCCCGATTCCTAAGAGGTTTCACACGGGCACCAAGGGTGCCTCTAAGACCAGGCACAGCAAAAAATCCCCCACACAATTTCCCTTCCCCCATCAGATCCGTCCAAGTCTTAACATCTTGCTCAAGCCACTCCACGTGAGACATATGGATGAACTGAACATGCTCACTCAAAGTCGAGCTCTTGGCCTCGATATGGTACTGGACATCCTCCACCTTCCTCTCTCCTGAGCTGACAATGAGGAAAAAAGGCTGAAGCATGGCGTTGGAGGGTCTTCCAACGGGCGCTTGCACAGCGGGCCTGGCGAGCAGAAACACAGGAGCGTCAACCGCGGGAGAAACGTCAACAGCAATTTTCAGCGCGAGCGGCGGTCCGTAAATTGGGTGGGCGGCCTTTTCCACAACATTCTCGTGTTTGCCAGCTTTCCGATTTTTACTCTGGCTGGCCAAACTGTCGAGTCTCCAGGACTCCACTTCCGCACTCGAAACGGGCCTGCCCAGCCCATGCCAAGTCTTGGCGCACACAGGTTGTCTCTTCAGATGTTTTATCAACCGACCATTGCTATGAAACTGGTAACAACAGATCTGGCACACTGTACCACAAGCCCTAAGCATTGGGATCCTCCGCATTTTTTATGGAACTTTCCCTTATGGATAGCAAGGCCCTTGGAAGTTTTGGCAAGGTAGCCGCACTCGTAGCAGAGGAACCACGAAGCAGCGGTGTTGCCTCCTCCAGCTTCCTCTAAGCCTTCCGCCGCTTCTTCCAGGGGTTGGACACCGAAACCCTCAAGACGCTTGCCAAAATCAACATTCTTCTGCTTTTCAAGCTGCGCGTGCAGCTTTCTCTCAGCAGCTTCACGCACTCCAGCCAAAAAGGGCTCGCGGCAGCTCCGAGCCACACGAATCCAATCCATGCCCCCCCCCCCCCCTGTCCAGGAATTTTCTTTTTGTCCAGGCGAGAGCTTAACCGGTCGAAATCGGTTTTCAGCTCGGCCGTCCATCCCTTCTCCTCCGCCCAAAGAGTGCCCAGGGCAACAAGCAGCCCACTCGGCGCACAGGACAGGGGGCGCACCAAATATCGCAGCCTGGCCACCCTAAGGATGACTCTGTGACCAAGCCGTCCAACTCTGGCCAGAACGCTGGCGTGGGATTGGTGGTCTTCATCATTTCCTCTGAGCGGCATCCCCAAAGCAGCTCTGTACGCGGCAGCCTGAGCCGCAGCAAGCCTCGCATGAAGCCGAGCCCCCATGGGGTCCCAAATCGCCGAATTAAACCAAAGTTTGGACACCGCGAAGGCATCCGCGTACTTGGCCCGAGTGGACACAGACAACGCTTTTCTTTTCCCCAAGGCCACCTGGATGGGTCTTAATTCCTTGCGAAGCACCCCCGTCCTGAGCTGGACCTCAGCCTCCATACCCCCATCTTCCATAATCATCGCCCCCAGCCCCTTCATCTGCTTGACAATGGCAACCTTGATGGCATGCTTAGGGGACTGCACAAAATCACCTCCTCCCTCCATGGCAACCTTCCTTTTGGCAAGCTGGGAGCCATGGCCCACAAGGGCCAAAATAAGAAACGTTTTACTCGCGTTCAGCTGAAGGCCGAACCTCGACACAGCTTCGAACACTAAGTCAACTAAGAGGGCAGCTTTCAGGTGCACATCTTCAGCCTTCTTGACCGCCCCCACTGGTGTGAGGTCGTCAACAAACGCAACCGAGTTATGGCCCTCCTGCCAGTGGGGCTCATCAGAGAACCGTTTCTCAACTTCAGGCGGCTTCCAATCAAGTTCCAACTGCTGCATTCCTTCTTCAATCTGAAGGATGATTGGAGTAAATGCGACGTTAAAGTCGTCGGTGGCAAACACCGTGCCTGGGCGCGTGCCCGAAGTCGGGCGCACATATGATGTTGCATGTCTGACCTTCCAAAAAGCCCCGGCCTTCGCATCGCGCACCAATTCAAGAAGGTGCTGATCTTCAACCATATTTTCAAGAATGGGTTGGCCCTCAAGGGCCATGGTCGCGGAGAACAGGGCCTCAGGGATTTGGACAGTATCCAGGGCCGATTTCAGATCATCCTCCCCCCCTGGGAGCCTCAAAATAAACTGCTTCACCACCGAGTAAAAAGCGGCGGCTAAATCTAGAAACATGCCAACGGTGGACACCTTCATCAACTTCTGCGCACGAAAACGAGTGCGCACAAAGTGGCTCGCCATATCCGTGCTTTTACCCTGCAAGCCCCCACGCTGAGTAGTGTGCATGCATTTCAGCATCACCCCCCACACACGCCCCCTCAATAATTTATGATGAACCTTCGCCAGCGTATTGGCAAGCAGGATGCTACGCTGGGCTACTGCCTTATCAATCTCTCCTTTTCCTTTATAAAAGGAAACAACCTCCCCCCTTTTCATCTCCAAAGGTTCCCGACCAGATACCCCGCACTTCAAAACAACAGGAAAATACGCCCGAGCCATGCCACCAGGGTCAATTTTAAAGAGATCATTCGGCACCTTATCGGGTCCTGGGGCTTTGCCTGTTGGCAACTGGCTGAAGGCTCTCTTCAACTTGTCGCGAGACATCAATTTATCAAGCTTCCTCTCAGCACGAGCCTCCAGCAACGTGCCTCGATCGTTGTACTTAGCAATAATATCAGACTCCGAAGCTTCAACCGCCCTTTCGATGTGCCCGAAGTGTCGCTGAAGGTCATTCGCATCATCTTGTGGTGCGATGAGTGGTCTGCCTTCGGGGTCGCTTCTCATGGGAAACACAAGGGGCTGACGGTGTCTCTTACCCCCATGGAGCAAAAGACGTTTCGCTATCTTCCATTCTCGCCGAGATACATTCCCCTCGATGCTGGCGTTAATCAAATGCGCATTGTCCTCCAAGTGTGCCGAATAGTCTCGATCAAGCGCATCTAGCAGAGGCTGCTTGGACGCAGCTAAAAACCACGCCAAGGTCAGCGTCCACTCTTCAGCTGAAACCTGCTTCCAAGAAAAGAAGCCAGCCTGCAATGCCAGGCGCGTCCAGATCGCTTCAAGCTCTCCCCACATCTCCCCCTCAAAGCTTTTCGCGCTAACCCCCTCCAAGTAAACATCACCTTTTCTGATGCTCTGGGCCACGAAAACAACTTGCCCACATGCTTCTCAAAGCCCCCTTTGTGCTTCGCAGCATGCATCGTTTTCTGGATGAGCCTCCTTAGCCTGATCATCCAGAACGCGGGCCCCTGAATGCACTTTTTACGTGGACGGACAGCCGGCTTCGCAAAGGCCAACTTCGCTGCATCAAGTACTTGTCGATTGGCTGCCTGCAGTTGAGCATTCATGTCAGATTGCCAACATGGCAGCTCAATGGCAGCAACCTTCTCCTTAAAAATCTTACGCGCTGCCTCCTGCTGCATCTTGTTGCAGTCAAGGTTGGTCCCATGGCCCACGGCCCGAGACGTCTGCACCTGCCATCGCAACCTGCCTAAGACGGGGAAGTGGTCTTCGCTTTTTCTGATGAGGTCGATGTGGTGCTGTACCCTAACCTCCCCGATGGACTGAAAGAGTTGCTTATTGACAACCAAGAAATCAATCCTATGCTTACTCTTCGTTTTATTGTCCAGGAACGTATAATCGTTCTCGTTCCCAAGGAACGTGTTAGCAGCTTTCAACCTAAAGTCCCCCAACCACTCCAGCATTTTGAAGCTACCCGCCGAGCACGTGCCTTTCGTCCCTTTACACCCAGCCTCCTCGGTCCCTGGGCCCCCTGAAAGATGGCAGTTGCCATCCACAAAGCAAAGGTTGGGCGTCCATTTCTCACACACCTCACGCATTTTAGCCCAGCAATCGGCTTTGGTGGCTGGGGTGTTCGCTGAATGAGGCGCGTGCGCCACCAAAACGTACATGCTCACACCAGGCGCTTCAATCCTCGCCATGAGGAGTCGCGGAGCGGCAAAGACCACTCGCACATGCTGCATGCAGAAACAGACAGGCTTGCCTCTAGCTCTTCCGTAGGGAATGCCCACGTTCAGCCAGAGCTCCACACCTAGTCCATAAGTCTCGTGGCCAGCTGAAATGCAACACCAGTCTCCAGCTCGCTTAGTACTTTTCTCGTTTCTGTCCTCTTGAATCCCCACAATGTGCACTCCAGACTGCGTCAGTTGAGACCGAAGCGCGGCTGCTCTTCGCGGTC